TCTGTCTCTCTCTCCTGTGTTTCTCTCTGGTGAGTACACACACCCTATAGAAAAAAAAAAAAAGCTATTTTACATGCCTAAGCTTACCTGGGCATTAAGAGTTGTTGTATATTGGTAATAGTGATTGACACCCTGATAGTGAAGGAAAAAACAAACAAACAAACAAACAAAACACTGAAAGCATGACCTAAGAATGAAAAAGAATATGGGCCAAGAATAATTGAGACAAAATCATACATTGCTATACATTTCCCTATCCACAGGTCATCATATTTTGTAATAGAGTTCATAAGGAAATGTAAGTAATATGAAGTATACTGTATTTATGCAAGGAAGAATAAATACATAAAAATTCCATAGAAAATGGTTTAAATAACATTTTTGTTTTGGTGCTCAAAGAGCTATAACTTCAGATAGTTGGATTAAACCAGGCAGAAATTAAAGCTAATTCATGGTAGAACCTAGGATTGGTGGCAAAGGAGCTAACATTAAATAACTAAGTGGAACTCCAGGCAACTAAAAGGAGTCATGTAATCCCAACAAGTACTGACTTTGCACTGTTACTGCCAACATATAATTTTCTTACTGCTGTAACAATGCTGAGTAATGCAGAAAACATGTGCTTACCTTGGGATACGTGGTTAAGAGCACTCCATAGGGTTAGGCCATAAGAAGGTCTTGCTAGTTCTTCTGGAAGGAAACCGTTCTAAACATTTCCAAAGAATTTTCTGGATGATTTCTACTCTACAGAGATTTGATTGCAGAAATCTTCCAGTAAACATGGAAAAAAATGAAAACAAAAAACCTAACTCGACTTCCTATAACACTTAAAAACTGTGCCAGGTGGGGCAAAGTATTAAAAACAATTTATTTTTGTCTTATGTGAAATTTTTGTCCCCAAGAAAGGCAGGATTACATTTTTTTTTCTAACAGATTGAGTTGGTATAGTGTATTTTTGATTATCAAAACAGAGCTTTTGGACTTTGAATTGGTACATATTCATGATGTGTGAAAAATCATTACTTAATTATGATCTTAAATACATAAAGTTGGATGTTGTGTATATACACAAGTGAGACCTAGAAGGACACATCAAATTGTAAAATGCTGTGACTGTTAATAACTTTGTTCTTTGCTTCTGAGTTTTTCAGATTCCTATAATGCATATATTAACTTTTAAAAATGAAGGTTATTTTGGGAGCCAGCAGTTAGCGTAATGGCTATGTCACTGGACTCCCACGTAGTCGACCGCGGTTCACGTCCTGGACTCGGTGGCTTAAAACTCACGCCGGGCGCATGTGCGTGTGTGCCCAAGATTCCGAGATGAGAATGGAGGAGAAGGGATTGTGCCGTGACCATCCCCTCTGGGGGGTGATTTCTCGCTTTCTGTCTCTCTGTCTCTCTCTTTCTGGCGAGTGTACGCGCCCTATAGTGAAAACCTCTCCAAAAAAATAAAATAAAATAAAAAAATAAAGGTTATTTTAAAAATCTGAAAAATGGGACCAGCAGTTGGTGTAATGGCTATGTCACTGGACTCCCATGTAGTCGACCATAGTTCAAGTCCCAGATCCAGTGACTTAAACTCACACTGGGTGTGTGTGCATGCGTGACCAAGATTCTGAGAGGAGAATGGAGGAGAAGGGATTGTGCCGTGACCATCCCCTCTGGGGGGTGATTTCTCGCTTTCTGTCTCTCTGTCTTTCTGGTGAGCGCACATGCCCTATAGCAAAAACCTCTCCAAAAAAAATCTGAAAAATAACAGCCACCCACTTGATTGTGTTGAAGGAGAATCTTTTTAAAAAAGTCTTTCTTCTTTTAAGGTTTTGTCTATAGGGTGCATGAGCTAGCTATACAGAGACAGAGAGGGAAAGGTTGAAATCACTTCCCAGGGAGGACGGCCATGCCAAAATCCTTCATCCTTCAATCTCCTCCTGGGATTTGGGAATGCATGCAGAGGTGCCTGGTGTGATTTTCAAGCCACCAGGTCCAGGACTTGAACTGTGGTTTGCTACGTGGGAGTCCATAACCACTATACAACCCGTTGAGCTCATGGAGAAATCTTTTTAATTTTTTAAAGAGGTTTCAGCCACAGGGCATGTGTGTTTGCCAGAGACAGACAGAGACAGTGAGAAATCACCCCACCCCCGGGAGATAGCCACGCCACAATCCTTTCTCCTCCGTTCTCTTACTGGGATGATGCGCACATGTGCACACATACTTGGCATGATTTTCAATTCACCAGGAAGAGGACTTGAACTGTGGGCAGCCATGTGGCAGTTCAGCAATGTAACCTCTATGCCATCTGCCGGTCTCATGAATGAGAATCTTAATCAGTACAATGTTAAATGAGAGAAAAAGATGAAATGGTATAGAGGATGAGAAATTCTGACTGAGTGAATGGAAAAGGGAGCCCTCTTTGTTGAATAGTGTATCTTTAAACTTGGATTTGTGTTTGAATTAGTTGTCATATTTCTGCAGGGATGAAGGGCTCATGGAAGAATGAGAACAGGGAGGCGGATACTGTTGGAAGGAGAGAGCCTGGAATGTCCATAGTGGTCAAGAGAAATGTGTATGTGGGTGTGTGGGAGGGTATCAAGGGAAATGATCATTGCCAAGCTGATTTGTTTCTGAACTGCCAAAGCATTCCCAGGATATTCTCCCTAGTTACCAAGATTAGAGAGGTGGAAAGTTAAACAATATTTTTATCTATTACAAGTGCAAACATTTTTAATCATTGGTAGATGCATTATTAATTTGAAAAAGACAATGATAACATTAAGAAAACTTTGAAACAAAATGACTTCTCATAATTCTACTACTTTTTAACAGATAATGTTATATTTTTATGTTTTCTTCCAGTCTAAAAAAATCTTTTAGCTTTAATTTCTTTACTGAAAAGAAACTAGTTAGTATAGAATCTTCTTAGTATAGAATCTCTTAAACCAGTTTCTGACCCCTCACAGGTTGAGAATAATGCTCTAGTCTTATATCATTTTGTCTTAAATTGGAAAGTTGAACTACAGAGATGTATTACCGCAAACATAATTTTATGACTGTTTTCAAGATGACTCCTTTCAACAACTGCAGATCAATTGTTATTTGGCTTGCTGAAGCCAAACATTTGTGGCTAAGAAAACCATTCGATGGCTGTCCAGGATAGGCTAAGGGATTATTCATTCTAACTCACTATTTTTATGGCAACAAAGGCCCAGAGAGGTCACAGAAATGCTATAGGTAGGACTTGAACCAAACCTTAAAACAACTTTTGGGGCCAGCAGATGGCATAGCAGTTACATTGCTGGACTCCCACATGGCCAACCATGGTTTGAGTACTGGACCTGGAGGCTTCAAACTCATGGTGGGTGTGTGAGCATACCTGCCCAAGATCTCAGGAGGAGAATGGAGGAGAAGGGACTGCAACATATCCATCTCTCCTGGGGGTAGTTTCTCACTTTTCCTCTCACTGTCTCCGTCTCTCTCTCTCTGGCAAGCACATGTGCCCTAAGGCAAAACTTCTAATAAAACCCTTTTAATATTAAATAATGTTAGACCTAGAGAAAATTTGCAAAGTAGGACAGACAGTTCATATATATTCTTCACTTACAACAAATGGTAACAATTACACAGGTTCAATGATCAAAAACAGAAAACTGACATTGGTACACTACTAAAAATACTATAGACCATAGCCAACAGTTGGCGTAGTGGTTAAGGTGCGGGACTCCCACATGGCTGATTATAGTTCAAGTCCCAGACCTGGCACCTTGCTTTCTCACTTTACCTTTCTCTCTCTTTCCATCTCTCTGGTAAATTAAATAATAATAATAATAATAAATGAAATGTAAATAAATCATTAAAAAGGACTGCAGACCTTATGTAAATTTTGTAAGTTTTCTTAAGTGTCTTGTTATCAGCAGTTGGATATATGGATTCAATCCAAAATCCACATTGCATTTAGGTTGTGTGCTTAGTTTCCTCCAATCTGAGAGAGTTCCTCAGTCTTTGTCTTTCATAACCTTGACATTTTGAAAAATACTGTCTAGGTGTTTGTGTAGAATGCCCCTAGCTGGGGGTCATCTAATATTTTCTCATGATTAGATTGGGTTTATGGACTTTTGGTACAATACCACAGAGGTGATGTGCCCTTTTCAGTGCAACAAGAAGTATGTACTGTTGATATGTCCTGTAACTGGTGACTGTCACTTCAAACATTGTATATATTATCTGTCAGGTTTATTTGCTGTGTACTTACCATTTTCCTATTTGTTATTGATAGGTATTTAGGAGAAGATATATTAAGATATGAGAATATCTCATTTTCCTCAAATATTCCACAAATTTTAGTATATATCAGTGAGTCTTGCCTGCAACAATTATTATAGTGATGCTTACCCAATAGTGACTTTGTATTTTCCTCATTTCTCCCAGATTTGTTAATTCTTCTGTAAGGTAGAGCTATCTCTTCTCCTCTATTTATTTATATATTTATTCATTTAGTTATTTGTCTGTATTGATATTTATGGACTCATAGCTGTTTATTTTATTCTACCAGATTATAATCCAATACTATAATTATTTAGTTACTCAAATTGTTCCAACTTTGGTCACTGACAATTAATTAGGTTGGGTCTTATATCCTTTTTTTAATTTTCCAGAGGGTATGTGTGTTTCTGGACAGAGAGAGAGAGAGAGAGAGAGAGAAGGGAGAGAGAGAAAGAGAGACCCTCCACCCTGCCCCCCCATAATACATGGTATCATTCTAACTCCTTTTCTTCCATCTCTCCCTCCTTTTGGAATTTTGGGCATACATGCACATGTGCTTTGGACGTTTCTCAAGCTGCCACGTTAGAGACTTGGACTATGCAGTTGTCCATTGGAGATCCAGCCTACTTAACCACCATGCCATGGGCTGCCTCACACTCTCCTTTGTAAAGTTTATTTATTTATTTTTTCTAGTAGAGGAGATAAGAGGGAGAGAGAGAAGAGAAAGAAAGTCAGGTACATCCAAGGGAGTCTCCATGTTGTAATTCATCACTCGTCTCAGTTGACCCAGGCCACAATTACACCCTAAATGCTTACAGAGGTCCTGGGATGCAAAACCTGGACCTTTCCATATAGATCCAATTGCACTACCACTAAATCTCTCATATCCTTTTTTTGGAGAGGTTTTTGCTATACGGTGCATGTGTTCACCAGAGAGACAGAGAGAAACAGAGAGACAGAAGGCAAAAAATTACCACCCAGAGGGGATGGCCACACCACAATCCCTTCTCCTCCATTCTCCTTTCGGGATCTTGGGCATGCACGCATACATGCCCGGTGTGAGTTTAAGCCACCAGGTCCAGGACTCAAACCACAGTCAACTACATGGGAGTCCAGAGATAGCCATTACACCAACTGCTGGTCCTTTTCTTTTTTTTTTTTTCCTCCTCTTGTATCCTTTTAACATGCCCAATCATTGTGAGGTTTTTGTCGTTTTAAGTAATTCCATATTTTCTGACTCCTACAAGATATTTCAGATTCAATTAGATTTTCTCTGTCCCAGGACTAGAATCAACCACTTCTCTTAGGAGCTCTATGAACAAAGACCTTTTGATGTAAATTCTTAGGCTCCTTCCATCTGCTTATGTTACATCTGAAACATTTCTGACTTGAGCCCCTTACAATTTTTCTCCGAAATCTATCATAAAAAATAGGTGGAGTTTGTGCTTATTGAGTTTGTTCTAATCATCAGACATTGCACACATTTACTCTCAGTGCTCCTATGT